GCTCTAGGAGGAGTATTGACATTCCATTGCGATCGTTTTACAAACAAACCTCAAATAGCCGACTTCCTGTTGGGCTGGGGTAAAAAGTAAGAGCGCGAGGTATAGATGAAACGATGAGATCAACATGTGTACCGAGTTTCATATTATTACATACAACGTGTTTGAGTATGGACCAAAGTGTTCGGACCCCGTTCCAGGGGGCGCTGACGAGCCGCCCTGCACGCCCGGGTAACCAGCTTCAGCCCCGGCTCTATGGCCGCGGGTTCTGACCCGTGTGCAAGTTTCAAGAGTTTTCGAGCAGTTTAAGGGCCCCAAAGTGCCCAAAAGTAGTAAAATAATAATAAATATAGCTGCGAGCAGCGATGGCGGGCCCAAGCGGTGGCACCGCAACCCCGGTTCCTTTGTTACCTAAAGGCACCGGTGGCGGTGCCGAAGGCTTTGGCCCTTTCATGATTAATGTTAAAACGGCTTGCCCATACTCTGTCATTTTCGACTAGTCAAAATTATGTTACAGATATCTTAAATGATAATACAAACTATCCAAAATGTAATTACGAATAGACAGAAAGACGTTGTTGATATCTACAATGTTAATTCCGGATAGGCAAACTTAGCTTTTAAAATGTTAAAGGGCTTGCCATACAGGACGTAGGCTCAGAGAGAGTCACCATATTCAAACCAAAATATCTGACTTCCTCTTGGTCCGAGCTAATGACTATGTAATAGAAAGTTGTCCGGCTTGAGGAGTAAAAATGTATATACCGATTTTTTGTAACTGTAGATAAAACTAACAACCCCACTTTTGTCAAAAGGTGGCGCTATTTAGTCCTTGCACCATGCCCGTTTCTGAAACTTTGCACGTCTACTGCTAATAAATGTTGATGTATCTGTTGAGTTTCAAGCAATTTCAATTTCAATTTGACTGGTTGAAAAGAAGTGCGCCGATTAGATACTCAGGATCGGTATCGGCTCTGACACTGCCATCTTTGACGAGGCTGATTCAAATTCTATATTGTGCATATACTATTCTATGTAAGGCACAAAGGCACAAAAAACTTTCTAAAGTACCATAAAGTTTTTGTGTACTGTATTATAAGTGTTCTGAACTATTATGTGATATAGAAATTAATATTTAGTCATTAAATTCAAGAACACGTAAACTTTTCCCTCTCTGCGCCTGTCAGTCATTCTCCATTCAGCATTCAAACAGCACGTCGCATTCGGTTACAGTCAATGATGAAACGATCTTCAAAGATGATTCAATGTTAATCTATTATACTGGGTCTTTAAGATAAAGGTCTAAAGGTCTATATTTTCGAATGAAGAACTTTTCTTGCTGGACTTTATTGCTGTAACTTAATCGTGTTACTTTCTACCGGGTGTCAGACGCTGTCGTTTAGATCACAACACTAGAGTCAGAGCACTATAATTGTTCTTCACGCACACAGTAACTGAAATTTAAAACCTTTAAAAGAAAAGGCTCAATAAACTATTGCATAGATATATAATGTATAATACACTGTTCATAAATATGTATTTCCTTTGTGCTTTGAACTTTTCAATACGGACTCAATGCGCTGTAACTTCATGTGGCTTCAAGCACATCATTCTCCGCTCGGGATGCACATAAGTGCTTTGTGCTGCACCGTATTAGAGCCGTAATATCATAATGCAGTGACGTAATGACAGATTATTAATTGCCTTTCAATATATGTTGCTGCGTCATTAAACATCTGTCCTATGCATTTCAAACATTTATAGCAGCCATGGCTATATCTTTTTATGATTTTTGTTATCTTGTTTTTCATGAATGTATTTTTTAAAAATAAGAGCAATGTGTATTATCTATTATTAATATAGTTTATAATAGCATTTTTGTCATAGATTATGACAAAAGTAATCATATGATCCACCAGCGAGGAACCAGCAGAACAGAGTGAACATTCTTTCTGTTTAGTTCAATCCTACTTAATAGGAATTTATTTAAAATGCTCGCTCTACTCCACACCATTAATGTCTTGTGCGGACATCCGTATTTTGACTTTCGGTTTTAAGTAAGCGATTTAAAAAGCTCCCAAGTCCCAGCGGAGTCACACGTTGATTAACCGGTGGGAATATACACAATAGGCCTACCTGATATTGAACACAAGAGGGCAGTATAGCACTACGTATGACTCAGATTATTATTTTTTTCTGAATTTTACAACAATTCTGGCTGTTTTTGAACGTAAACATAATTCTTAAATGAAAAAAGGGAAAAAATTGGGGAAGTTATAATATTTGTATAATTTAATTTAGAAACAAATGATGTATAATTACATTTTTAGAAGATATGAGGCTTTTAGTGTTTACTTTTTTCACATTACTTTAATCTTTTGCCATAGTTGCACATGTCTACTGGCTAATAAATGTGATGTATCTGTTGAGTTTCAAAGCAATTTCAAGCATGCTAAGAGTCCCAAAAGCATCAAAAAAGAATGTTAAAGTTTGTTTCGTTGCCACGGCAACAGTATCAAAGATATCAAAATTCATTCACAGGTCTACATCTGCCGTGTATTTACATTATACAGATGAAGTTTGAAGCAAATCGGTTAAAAATAAGAGAGTGATTTCAAAAGCATTTTGAAAGTGACACACTTCCTGCTGCCAGTTGTGGCGCTATAACTTTGACTCACAATAGTCACATCCATGTGATCGGTCTCTTACAGCGAAAACACTGCTGAAGTTTCATCAAGATCAGTTAATGTATGCTGAAGTTATAACACACATCCTGTTTCATGTTTCTCGCCATGATTTCGTTTCCTCGCCACGGCCAAACCGTTCGAGGTATCAAAAATCCTGTGCACTTTCATCCTTAATGTCTTGACTTCACGCTGATCGAGTTTCGTCGAATTTGGTTCAGTGCTCTAGGAGCAATAATTTAAATTCCATTGCATGTGTTTTAAACACAACCCTAAATAGCCAACTTCCTGTTGGGCTGGGGTAAAAAGTAAGAGTGTGAAGTATATATGAAACGATGAGATCTATATGTGTACCAAGTTTCATATTATTACATGCAAGTGTGTTTGATTTATGGACCAAATTTTCAGACCAAGTTTATTGACCAAGTTAATCTGATTAATAAACTAATTATATAAAACTATTGTCAATTCACTACAATTAAACTAGTTATATGCCTTTACTTATAAAAAATAAAAATAAAAACTTATTTAAAAAATACCAGGCTTGAGAAATGTATTTTCTTTATGCAGGTCATACACACAGCAGTGAAATGGTTAAGCCCCCTCCCCCTGCACACACACACACACACACAGACAGCCAGCCAGTCAGTCAGCCAGCCAGCCAAAGACACAGAGACACAGACACATGTAGGCTCAGAGTGGCCATATTTCAAACAAAAATATCTGACTTTCTGTGGGTCCTAGCTAATAAGTGTCAATTAGAAAGTTGTCCGGCTCGAGGAGTACAATATACATACCAATTTTTGTAACTCTAGTTAAAACTAACAACCCACTTTTGTCAAAAGGTGGCGCTACTGAGCCCTCACCACGCCCGTTTCTGAAACTTTGCACATGTCTACTGGCTAATAAATGTGATGTGTCTGTCGAGTTTCATGCAATTTGAAGCATGCTAAGGGTCTCAAAAGCATCCTAAAAGCATCCTAAAAGAAGGGTAAAGTTTGATGCGTCGCCACGGCAACAGTTTCAAAGATATCAAGAATCCATTCACAGGTCTACATCTGCCGTATGTTTACTTATACATATGAAGTTTGAAGCAAATCGGGTAAAAAAAAAGGGTGATATCAAAGCATTTTGAAAGTGACACACTTCCTGCTGCCAGTTGGTGGCGCTATAACTTTGACTCACAATAGTCACATCCATGTGATCGTCCTCTTACAGCGAACACACTGCTGAAGTTTCATCAAGATCAGTTAATGTATGCTGAAGTTATAACACACTTCCTGTTTCACGTTTCTCGCCATGATTTCGTTTCCTCGCCACGGACAAACCGTTCGAGATATAAAAAATCCCCTCGCAAACTTTCATCCTCAATGTCTTGACTTCACGCTGACCGAGTTTCGTCGAATTGGATCAAAGCTCTAGGAGGAGTATATGACATTCCATTGCGAGCGTTTTACAAACAAACCTCAATAGCCGACTTCCTGTTGGGCTGGGGTAAAAAAGTAAGAGTGTGAGGTATAGATGAAACGATGAGATCAACATGTGTACCGAGTTTCATATTATTACATACAAGCGTGTTTGAGTTATGGACCAAGTGTTCGGACCCGTTCCAGGGGGCGCTGACGAGCCGCCCTACCACGCCGGGTACCAGCTTCAGCCCGGCTCTGATGGCCGCGGGTTCTGACCCGTGTGCAAAGTTTCAAGAGTTTTCGAGCACGTTAAGGGCCCCAAAAGTGCCCAAAAGGTAGTAAAATAATAATTATTATAATAATAATAATAGTAAAGAAAAATAATCCCAAGGAAAACAATAGGGCCTTCGCCCTTTCAGGGCTTGGGCCCTAATAATAGTGAAGAAAAATAATCCCAAGGAAAACAATAGGGCCTTCGCCCTTTCAGGGCTTGGGCCCTAATAAGCCTATTTGATGTAGGCCTGTAGGCCATTTTTGGTTCTCTGGCTCGATCGGATAAAGACCAAAAAAAACGGAATAATTAAAAATCATGAGGCTCTACAAATTGTTTTTTACAATATGAGTGACAGAATTTTCATGTCATTGTTGCGACAGAAAAATATAAGCACCATTAATTAGTAAAAACTCGTGTGAACTGTAAATTGTTCCATCCCCATACTGCAGTTTAGTAACCATATACAATAAATTATCCAGAGCATTTGGCCGTTATGGGTGTCACGATCATGCGTCCCGGGGCAGCTGTTCAACAGGTAGCCTACTGAGACTGACTGAGACTAAAGAGGTGTAGAGTCTCCCAGGAGGGTGTGTGAATGTGAATGCGCTCGAGCTCATTTAAAGCCGTTCGTTTCTCTACGAGGCGGCGCTGCATGCTGTCAATCTGTAGAATTATAGGAACAACACCGCCCTGATTTAACGAACTGCTCTCGCGGATTTAATGTTCTATCTTCATTTTCTCCCACGTTAATTGTATGGAGAAGTGGTTTGTCTTTATGCACCGCTCGCTGGCTGGAGACGAGTGTCCGTGAGGGAGGAGGAGCTACCGGACATCCGATAAGGAACTACGAGCTTCATTGAACAGGGTGAGATATGCGCAAGCATTAGTGCATTAATGTGCATTGTTTTACAGTGAGTGCACAGGATGGGAAACGAGCGAGGTGAGGCAGCAGACAGCCGTCTGTCCCCTTGCCGGAGACCGAGATCAGCGGCTGATGCGATCTGAGATCTCCTGTCATTGTTGCTGAGCTGTGAGCAGGAAACGCCGATGCAAAAAACAGGCCTGCCACGAATGAATGAATGAAATAAGCGCGTAAAGGATGCTTTTTATTTAATTTTTTTTTTATCGCGGTCCGTGCGAGCATAACCATGCGTGTGCTCTTTTGTTTTGTAACGGACGCTCTCTGGCTGTTGAACTTGCGTGTAGTTCGCGAAAGTTTCAATATTGATGGAGACAATTGACACCGTTAGCTCTTGTGTTTCCGGGTATAACGGATCGTTGTATCCCTATCCCAGTGAAATGTTTGTCAACAGCGCAAGAGGCGGGGTTTTAATCATTGTTTTGAATAGCTTGCTGATTGAGTAATGGCCGTCTCATTTTATAACTGTTACATGAAACAGCTTCTGCATTGTGCATCTTCGTTATGTGGGCTACAGTATTATCTCATAATCATTTTGCTCAAAATCAGGGTGCAAATTATGGACCAGAACTCCCTAATTAAAGCTTGGGGTGCCTTAATTCAGCCTACGTGTTGTTGGTATATGAGAAGCCTTTTCAAATAGTAACTGCAGGTTTTTCAGTAAACACTAATATACAGTAGCAACTACCATAGCAAGTGCTGCCATTTATTTTAGATGTATTTTTTTTTTTACTTTACAAAAACGATTTTACGTACAATATACTTTACTTTACAGTACTTCACAGTATATATCATGTCTTTTGCCATCATTATTGAACTTATATTTCACTAGGAAGCCTGTCCTCCATTATGACTGCCGTTAGGCAGAGGAAGGGCAGCAAAGGGAAGGAGCCGGGGCCCAGCATTCAGAACCTGAAGCCAGAGTGTATAACTGAACCTAGAGAGTGGTTTGCAACAGGTCAGTGCTGTTTGTTACAGAAGTAGATTAGTACATTTAACTCAACCCAAAAATGAAACATTTTTCATCATTTACCATAACCATGTTGTCCCAGATGTATTTGATATTAATGAGAGTTAATTGACATGTTGGTGCAACATAACTTATAGTCAACAAAATGTTTAAAGGGGATCATCAAAATAAAGTGTTACCAAAATCAATAGGCTAGTACAGTATACAAATATTATACAAAAATAGCAATATAATATTAACCATAGATCAGTGTTCATGTCTCTTGTTTACCATGTGGATTGTTTAATGTTGTGGTCCGACTCCAAGAGATAATGTTGTCTTTCTCTCCAGGTGGATTCTCATGGTGGACAATATTGTGTATAACCATTGGCTCAATAGTGGGAGTTAGTCTGGGCTTGCTATGCTGCATCTATGTGGCTACACTTCATGAAAATGACCTGTGGTTTTCCAATATAAAGGTAAAGAGCTTTTTATGTTCAATGTTCTGAAACAAAGTGATACAACCTTCCATTTGGGATTCATTTTCTTTTCAGTCTTTGGTGAAAAGACAGAGGTCGTTATAGTGTTCTTAGGCTACTTGACTAATATAAATAACAGCTCAAGAGATCTACATTTATAATGTGTGGTTGCATTTAGTCAGTGATGGTGTTCTCATCTGTCCTATATTTTCATGCGTTTCTTCTTGTAAACGAATTGTTTTCCAGATATGTGCTGAAAGATAATTTCCCTCTTTGGCATAACAGTCACATAAACATTTAGCCAGAGTTTGGGCTGCAGATCATGTTATGACTTCCAGACCTAAAACAGATGAAACCACACCATGCCAAAAAAGTTCTGTCATGTTCAGTTGGATAAATCAGCATGTCCATTTATCCCAGATCACTCATTAAAATAAAGCAGATCAGGAGTAGTTTAACCACATCTTCCAATCAATGCAGGATTTACCGCCGCTGGTTTTGCAGTAAATCACCATTTATTTATTTAGGGTGCCATGCAATTTAAGAGCCCTTTTTATTTTTGATTTTAATGTGACTTGCAGTCAAACCTGCTGCAAATACATGTCAGGAGACTTTCTTCACTCTTTGAAGTACATTTAGTCTGAAGAGCATATTTGATTACTGTATCCTGAACGAGTTCCTGATTACAGTACGGTACATTCTTCATCTAGGCTAAAGACACAACATCAATTTGACACTGTAAATGAATGGTTCCAAGCTCAATTCCTGGAGGACTCCATCGCTAAACATTTTTGGTTTTCTTCCTAATTAAACCCACCAGATTCAACTTGTTAATAGAGACTCCAAGCTCTAAAATGGGGGTCCAGATGAAGGAGACACTGCTGTAATAGTAATAATTATTTTTATATATGAGACATAACAATTACGCCCGGTTTATATAGTGCTGCACGTGGAATGCATAGCACAAAAGGTCATCTCAGGTTTAAAATTAAGTCAGAGTGTGACAGCAGTGGAAAAAGGAAACTCATGCATGCTGGCTGGTATTTATGACTTGCTTATGAGTCATCCTACTTTCATCTGCACTCTTGCTTTTCGGAACGTGACTGGAAGCTTTAGGGACTGGATGACCACAGCTTTTGTCCCCATATGTTTCTTTCATTCTTTGGTTGAAGAAAGCCTCAAGTGAGCATTTGAGGAAGAGTATGCTTTATTTGCAGGCAAATAAATCACCTGTTCTCTTTCAGAGGAAGACCTGTGGGAATGTGGTTAGCAGCTAATCAAATGTTACTGCAGAGAGCCTCTGTTAGAAACACAGATCCCATGTTATTTTTATAATCGTTTCCCCTTTTCTTATGGAAACCAGTGGTAAATTTCACAGGGGCTTTGTAAATGTTCTCAGCAGGTGTTGGTGATATCTTAAGTTTCGTAATTGATGATATTGCCATGATTTTTGAACAAAGACGTTTGAAGTAACATGTTTGTTTTTCCTCTGGGACGCCACACTGCAGGAGACAAATGCTTTTGGGACGCTATTAAATTCGCTCTGTGTGAAGTCATGTCCACGACGGTCTTAATTTCAAGCTGGACATTGTTCCATCGTTTGTTCAAATAACTGTTTTTGCAAATGCTCTTAAACCTTTTTTTTTATGATGTTCCAAGCTTTTTTTCCCCCTTCTTTTTTTATATATTTTTTTCCCTGACTTTCAGGAGGTCACTAGTTGTGCGGCCCACATGCCTTCCCCCCTGTCTCAGCCCCTCTCTGATCACATGTAAAATGTTCATCCTGCAGATTGCTGTTTGGTGGCGTCTAGAGTTTAGAATGATCTCATGAGGTTTTGTTTTATTGTTTTAATACATGTGCTATGAAGTTTTTGGGCATGAAATTCTGGAAAGACCTATAAACAAAAGAGTTTGCGGTCTCAAACAGAGAGGGACATTTAGGAAAGACTGGAAAGACGTAGGATAATAGTCCTTGAGAATGAGGGTTCGTAGCAGGAGGAAGAGCAATTCGAATGATAATGCTGGGACTGCCCTGCATAGACCACCTTTGCTTAACTTTGGGGCAAAAGACAATCCGAGGGATTACAAGAGTGGGCAGAGGGACATAGAGCTTTCATGGAATCACATTTCTGGACAAAACTGTTGGCCGGCTGTTGTCATAGCAGCAGGATTACTGTTGGCAGGGGTGATTGGGCTGTTTCATGCATGGTTTGTTTATTCTATTCACGAGAACCTGCTGTGGTTTTCACACTTAAAGGTAAGCAGAAGCAGGATCTGTCTTCATTTTTGTTACAAGAATATTGCTAAGAAATGTTGTGGAATGAAGATGTGAATGTGTGCTCTTTGTGTAAGAAGGACAAGCATTATTGGTCACTCAGTTTTTGTTGTGTATGTTCTATAGTACTCTCGTCATTATTATACTTTTTTTGTTTTTGTTTGAGTTTTTCAGAACAAAAAGGTTTAAGACTGTTTTATTAAGAAAAATAAAAGTGTTTGAAGTCTCTTAAAACCAAAACCAAATGTCATGCAGTTCTAATCTTGAGGAGCATATGGATCGTTTTTGTCGGGATGTTGTTTAGTTCTGAAAACGGCTTCCACTATAAAATTTCACCATATTTACAACACCTGTTTTTTTTTTCTTCCTCGAGGCTTTTATTGCGAATGAAATCTCAGTTTATTCTGGGCAGATAGCTGCACTGATTTCTTTTTCAGATGGGAAATGTATTTCATTTTGACACCATTTACTTCTGTTGTGCTTCTTGTCATAGTTCATTTTTACTGAATCTTATCCTCTCCTCTTGCATTTGTAGGAAGTCGAGCGTGAAATCTCCTTCCGTACAGAATGTGGCCTTTATTACTCCTACTACAAACAGATGTTGAAGGCCCCTTCTGTACAGCAAGGTACAGATATCTACTCACAAGATACGACTCTACGATCACCCTTGCATAATGTCATCCCACATACCCACCCTGGTGTTGTTCTAATGCCGAATGGCCTTCTTTCTTTTATGGACCACAATGGCATTTGGACCACAACAGACCATTTAATGGCAGTGAATACCAACCAGTATGAAGCTTTGTAAAATCTCATGTGACGCATGCCGTAGCTTCCAAGTGTTCTTGGAGTATATGTTATGGTTTAGTGAAAATCAAACCTGTGAGAAATCAAGATTAACAAAAATGAGACATGAAGTAAGCAAACATCTAATGTACCTTCTACTCTAAGGTGAATATATCTGTTGTGTTCATCACAACAAGGAGTTATTGTGTTCACATCTGTCAGACAAACGGAGATCCGGTCTGGTGATATTGGACTCAGTGACGAAGATGCACAGATACTTTTGGGGGGGAATTCTAGGTGTTGTATTTAATGTTGTGTTTTGTTTTTTATCCTGATTTCTCACAAATTGTTTTTTTCTGAGTGAGGAGTGAACTATAGCATTAATAGAATCTTGAGAAAGTGCACTGTGTTTAGCTGTGCACTGAGGACAACAGCCAAGGTCAAGAATTTTGTTGAATAATACATACAATTTTTTTTTTCCTTCACTAAAGCCTATTTTTTTACCCACAGAACACTTGAAATATACAGCATGTGTTGCATAGGATCATTCTGTGATACTTTTTGCAATTTTTTACAAATCTTGATGCTTCTATTCACTGTCATTCACTGCTATTAAATGGATGAGCGCAAGAACTCTTTAAAAATTTGTAAAAATTGTCCTTTTGTGGTCCATAAAAGAAATCAAATGCCTATAGACCAGCAACAGGGTGAGTAAATGAAGACTTAATTTTCATTTTATGGTAAACCATTCCTTTAAGTTTTTATTTTTAATTATTTTTTTTTTTATGTGGTAATATTGCTCCTATAGGGTAGTTATTATTTTATAATCAGATCCCATTTTCTTACTAACCCTAAGTTTTTTTTGTTGTTGTTTAGCTCTTTCCATACCAGCAAGTTTCACATTCACATTCTATTCTGTTTGGTTTCCATTATCACTTATGTAATCTGAGAGCTATCGAAGGAATGTCTCATTACGTAACCATATCAGTGTGACTGGTCTCAGAAAATGGAAAGGAAATGCACAACTTTGCTCTAAATGGCCTTTGCTCATGCTAATTGGCTTAACAGCCCCATTTGGAATGGATTTTTTTGTGCTCCTACACTGAAAAACAAATACAATTAGGTCATTACCCTTTGAGACTGAAATGGTAAGAACCGCAGCGACGCCAAAAGCTGTTCTCTAGACATCACTACAATTGGGCCTTTGTACTTATAGTATTTAAAAGCATCTTCAGAGCATTGCTTTTCTATTAAGCAATCACTGAAACTGATTACTGTAAAATGTCACAGCTGTAGTATTATCTACACTAGTATAAAGATAGTTGAGGTTGTTTTGAAATTCTCTTCCATTATTCATTTCGGCCCACATTTACTATAATGAACACCTTTCAAATCATTGTTGTTTTGTAACTATGTATTATCAAAGTATTATTGTTTGCATAGGAACACTAATTGTTATATTAAAGCAAAATATACTAATATTTAGCCAAAAAAAGTCGGTAACACTTTATTTTACGGTTTCCGTGATACAGAGTAATTACTTAATTACTTGTAGTAGACGTTGTAATAACATGTAACAAAGTGTCAAAACAACAAAACAACATGTAACTAAGTTATAGAACTGCCTGTACTAACAGGTTGTAATTACACACATGTAATAGGCAGCTACTGTTACACATACAGTACGTAACAGGCCGAGACGGTTACACATGTGTTAACTTGGTACAATGTAATTATATTTGAAAGTACTTTGTACTACTCAATATAACAAGTACTTAAATATGTTATATACATACACACACACACACACACACACAGATCTGATCTCACCATCATCGAGTCCATCTGTGATAACGTGAAGAAACAGAAAAAACTGAGACAGACTAAATCCAGAAGAACTGCGGCCACATCTCCAAGACGCTTAAACGCCTATATCTGCAAAGCTACAGTACTGTGAAAAGTTTTAGGCACTCATGTAAAACTACTGCAAACTGAGGATGCTGTTTCAAAAATAATGCCATAAATAGATTAATTAGATCAATTAACTTCTGTTAACTAAATCAAACCAATAGTTGTTGTGACCACCCTTTGCGTTTAAAACAGCTCATTGTTTTTCTGGTAGCTTTGCAGGTATTGGTTGTTTCAAGCATCTGCGAATTTGCCGCAGTTCTTCTGGATTTAGTCTATCTCATATTTTTCCTGTTTCTTCATCTTCATGTAATCACAGACAGACTTGATGATGGTGAGATCAGAGACGGGCTGTTGTCAGACTCCTTGTGCATGCAAAAATCTCACTGGATTATTATAATTAATGGCAATAATTATAATGAACTGTCTTAAAACCATTTGTGTGTGTGTGAGAAATAAGTTACGAGTTAAGTAAGAGTTGGGACTAATTAAATTAGTTTTGAATTCATGCTAAGCGTAAAAGTCGTAAGTTTACTGGTGTTGTGTGTGTTCTAATGTTCACAGGTCTTTATGAGCTTATTCATGACAACACTACTGAATCCAAGAGGACAATTAACATCCTACAACGTATGAACATCTACCAGGAAGTGTTCCTTAGCATTTTGTACAGAATTCTTCCCATCCAGGTGTTCAATCACTTATTTTTTCTTACTATGTATGTATGTATAGATTGTCTTGAGATTTTCCAACCGGTGTGTTTATTTTGCAGACCTACTTGGAGCCAATTTATTTCTACATCTACACAGTGTTTGCTTTGCAGACAGTGTATGTCTTCGCTCTCTTTATCACTAGCTGGTTACTCAGTGACTCATGGCTGGCTGGGGCCCTCAGTGGAGTCTGGTACATTCTGAACAGGTATGTGTGCGCTCAACAAGATTACGATTTTGTAATCGTAAAAGCTGCAATTACACAAGCATCAAACTACTTGGCACGCTACGTATATAGGTCTGGCATACAGGAAAGAACATTTCATTTTTAATGTATGTGATATTGTGTTATTTATTCTCTCTCCAACAGTTCTGGATTGATTTAGAGAATTTCCGAATCGAGTCTGAGCTTAGATTTTAAACACTGATGCGTGATGATGCCGCGTGTGCTTTAGAAACAACCATATTCTGCTTGCTTCTAATTTCTCTCTCTCACAAACACACAAGACACTGCTTGAAAGTTTGTGTTTTAACCGAATTACAAGGACATCCGCGGGCTTTATTGCACAGGTTTTGCCAGTGGCGTAGGCAGAAATTGTATTTTGGGTGGGCCAGTGAAAATGTGAGTGAAAAAATGACTTCAATAATAATTAACCTTAGAGAGTAGAAAAATTCATAGACAAACTAAATACATTTTAATTAATGAAGAACTAAAAATGTATTTTTATCAAACTTGCCTGGGCGGGCTAGTTAGTAATGTGGGCGGGCCAGTGCCGCCCTGACCCAATACTGGCTACGCCCCTGGTGTGAATGCAGCTTATCGTATCTAAACTAAGGGGGGAAATCACTCCAGCTCTTGAATGAAACACATTCAGACGGCCTAGTTATAAATACTGAAAGTATTCTTTGTTTGTTGCTTGTAATACTTTTTTGTTCCTCCTTTATTTACTAGCTTTTATATTTTGAAGCTATATTAGTTTATATAGCCTATTTAAAATTCTTAACATGTAATTGGTTTAATTAAAGTTATATATATATATATATATATATATATATATGTATATATACACATGTAATTAAATACATATTTTAAGTCTTATTATGATTACTTAATACGAAAAAAGTAGATCGGATCATGAGCTGCCTAAAGATTCCCATCCCTACTGTACAATGATTTATTGCTTTACAATGATTTATTGCTATTGTCTTTGACGACTAATACAGAAGATAATGAACTTAAAAAGTAAATTGCATAGTAAATCGCAATATTAATAAAAAAAATCGCAATTAGATTATTTTCCATAATCGTTTAGCCCTAGCGTAGGTCCCAAGGGGCAAATGCCCGGAGCTCATATAGTGCATAATCACCATGGACTCACAGAGAGTCTGAGAAGAGAGGCTAGCTGCATCATTCCCAAAACGTTAGCAACCAAAGGGGCTAATCACTGTAACAGTGTCACACACAGTCAGGGTGAAGTGAAAAATCGTCCTGAACTGAATAACAGTATGGGTATTATTTTGCCCTTGGGAAAAAACTCTTATCAGTCACCGAGTGGTGCTCAAGCGAATGTAGTACTCTGCACCAAAGCAGCGGGGCAGATGATACTTGATTTTAAACTGACAACAGTTTAGCCTGCAAAGCGGGAACTTCTACTAGGTTATTAATCCATATAAATGTAGACGGGAGGCCCAGCCTGCCGCCATACAGATATCTTGTAAGGTGACCCCGCTAGACCACACGCACGATGAGGCCATGCCTCTAGTGGAGTGCGCTCTAACACCTTAAGGGCACTTTAGTATCTTTGTTGTGTATGCCAGTACTATGGCATCAACTATCCATCTGGATAGGCTCTGTTTCAATGTGGCAAGGCCCTTAGCATGACCGCTAATCGTAATGAAAATCTGCTCAGTCTATCTGAAAATGGATGAGTGAGACACATAGGCTCTTAATGCCCTGACTGGGGGCATTTTTTTTTTCACATCTTTTTCCTCATTATAAACCGGTAGGGCAGACAGGGAAATAACCTGGGCCCTGAATGGTGTGTTGAGGGATTTAGGCACATATCCATGTCTTGGTTTGAGTATGACCTTCGTATGAGTCATTAGGCCCAAATTCCAGACACGTTGCGCTTACTGAGAGTGCTTTGTAGATCCCCTATGCGCTTTACTGACACGAGAGCCATGAGAAACACTGTTTTGAACGACAGGTGTTTCATATTCGACATTGGATTGGCTCAAATGGGGCACATTTCATGGCTTCCAGAACCTTAGAAAGGTCCCACATGGGGATAGAGGGGGTTCTGGGAGGATTCAGCCTCTTAGCTCCTTTTAGAAAACGGATTACCATATTGTTTTCCCCCAGTGACAGGCCAGTCGCAGGTTTCATAAAAGCTGGTATGGCCGCTACGTAAACTTTGAGCTTGGGTGGGGATCTGCCCTTATCCAGCAGTTCTTGAAGGAAGGCGAGCACTTCCATTACCCCGCTGTTTATGGTTGAAAAGTCTCAGGCTTTGCACCAGTTAACAAACACTAACCACTCCTTCGGGGAGGTTTGCGGGTATCCGTTGATGGCAAATGCGTGCAGGGCCCAACGTTCCCGGTGAGGATGCCAAATTGAACCCTCTGCCAGAGAGAGGAGGCCTTTCCTCATCGGAATTGGCCATGGGGCAGTGCTCGTCAGCTGCATTAGGACTGGAAACCAGGCTTGGTTCTTCCAGAGTGGAGCCACAAGGAGCACTTAGCATCCGATTTCCCTGATTCGTTCCAGCACCTGAGGCAGGACCAAGACTGGGGGAAACGCATAGAGCGGGCAGCGGGGCCAGTGCATCCTTGCTCTTGGAGAAAAACTTTGGGCAGTGAGTGTCCTCCTGGGATGCGAATAGGTCCACCTGCGCTCTGCTTAATGTCTCCCACAGCAGGACGATCGTCTGCGGGTGCAGAGATCACTCTCCTGCTGGAATATTGTGTCTGGACAGTTTGTCTGGCCCCAAATTCTGGGAGCTAGGCACGTGTGCTGTTCTTAGTGAGCACAGATTGTGCTGAGCATAGACCAAGATGCTTTCCATCAGCCTGAAAAGGTTTCGGGACTTGACAACACCCTGGTGATTTATGTAGGCCACCACTGACATGTTGTCCAAGCGGACTAAGACGTGGTGACCTTTTATTCGGGGAAAAAGGCGCCTCAGCGTGTTGCCGACTGCCATCATTTCTAGACAGTTTATATTAAGGAGCTTCACTCGTTCTGACCACAGGCTGAAAAACGGTCTGCCCTCGTGCAGTGCTCCCCATCCCGAGGTGAAGGCGTCTGTAGACACCACCTGCACACTCGAGGAAGTCCCCAGGCTTACACCTGACTGGTACCAGTTGGTTGCTCTCCAAATTTTCAGAGCTGCAAAAAAAAACAAAAAAAACAAAAAAACAGAACATTAAATCAAAACATGAGGCCCAGCATTTTCAGAAACCTCCTGAGCGGGACTATAGTGCCGCTGCGGAAGGATTTCGTGATGCATTGAATTTTTAATCTGCGCTCTGGAGATAGTCGTGCTGTCATACACAGCAAGTTCAGCTCTGTGCTGAACTCCAGAAAGGATATTTTCTGACTGGGGGACAGCAAACTTTTCGCACAATTGACTGTGAGGCCCAGATTCTCTAGATGTTTGAGTAACATGGCCCTGTGTTCTCTGAGCTCTGAATGAGATCAAGCTAGAATCAGCCAATCATCCAAGTAGTTCAAAACTCGCCTGCCCCGAAGTTTAGGGCTGCGAGAGCCACGTCCATGCACATTGGTACGAGCCACAGGAGGATAGCATCTTTAAAAAGACGCAGCTCTTTTAGAAAGTGCGAGTCGCGGTGGCGAACACACACTAGGCAGAGTAATGCAATATATGTAAGGATATGAATGCTGGATAGCATTGCAGGAACAGCGACATGAAGTTGAAATGGCTCGTCCCGCAGAAGGCTTTCTCAGGCGTCGCGGCTTCTCACTCTGGATTCAGCGATGTGTGAGCTTCGCAGAAAAGATGAAAAATAAGTTATATCAGTCTATCGAGTTATTTGGCGGGAGTGTGACGCAGTGGGCATGAAGCGCCCCCATTGGACCGCCACCAAAGAGCCTCTCTCGATAAGCTGCTGCAGTTGCCACAGGACAGCCATTAGGCACGCTAAGCTGCATTGCCTGTGTCTGCATGCTGCCACAATGCGTTTTAAATTAAATCAAAATTAATGATAATTTTTCGGCTTCAATATCTGGCAGGTAATTGTGAAAGCCGATATGTTTCTCTATCTAAATATGGTTTTAATCTCTCAAGGACATTTAGAGCTTTAGGATATTAGGATGTTCCCCCTGGAACAATCTCAGTATTTAATGTTCAGAATAATACAGATGCAGATAGACCAGACCCCAAGCTATTGTTTGAGTTGGTATGGAAGCTCAATCAAAAAGAGCAATGTTTTGATTACATAACACATTTTTAGGAAACTCACAGATGACTTCTCTGCATTTAAAGCTGGAATTGTATAACATATTGCAGCATTGAAAATTACACCTTAACTCTTTTTTTGTGCCTGTGTTTTTTTTTCTTTGTGCTTGATTGCATTGTTCATTTGTGTACAGAGTGGACACCACACGCGTGGAGTTTACCATCTCTCTAAGGGAGAACTGGTCAATACCTTTCTTTGCCCTTCAGGTGGCTGCCATAACCTGCTACTTAAGGCCACAGCTAAAACCTATTCACCAGGTAATCGACTGTTCTCATAAATTTAGATGTCTATTCTGTAACTACTATCAAATGATATCCATTATTGATGGGAAGTCCTATTCTTTTTAGTTAATTTGTTCTTTCGAACAGCTTGTTTCTGCATTAAACCTTATCCACTCTAATTGTATGTAAGTGTGAACTCGTCAAACAATTGCTGAACATTCACTCCCATCTCCCATTGGTTGGATAAACAGAGAAATAGGGTTGGTATCATTTTAATTTTTTCATTTGATTCCGATTATGCTTATTGATTCCTAGTTTCGATTACAATATGGGGAAAAAAAGTTAAACATTTAGATATCAAACATATATTTTATCTCTTGCAAAAGCTGAATACCATTTTGTTGCAGCTGAATACCATGAACAAATATCAGCAGCCTAAAAACAACTAACCCATACATGTTCAACCAAGAGTCCGTTTGTCCGTTTCTGACAATTCCTGTCAGATCCAATATAGACAGCACAGCACATTCTTTACTCTGAATCGTCTGCAAATCCAGTCTTGTGTACAAAACAATCCTCAGTGAAATGAAGTGAAAAGACGACGATGTTTTACCCTCATCAGCTGGAACGTCATTAAAAATAAAGTTTATCCATGAAGTCCTATTGGAATCCAGAGGAAGCTTATGCAGCAACTGTCTTCTTCCACAACCAGGCACTGCACAATATTCTGTATTGCTCGGTAGAACGATCCGGTTTGTCATCACGAGGTAGGCATGTATGTTAGGCTACTTCCCAGATAGCAGACGGGTGTGGGCCACTTCAGGCAATGATTCGGCACTGGTGGCCTTCTTATGGCCCGGACCAAATGTGTCTGAGCCTGAAGTGGCCCACATGTAAAATGGCAAATATGGGCCAAAAAATGTAAATCACATGTGGGCCATTTTAGGCAAAGATGCGGCACTCGTGGCAATGTGTAATCTGAATCTTAGCCTAAAGTGGCCCATTTGATAGATAATAAATATGGCCCAAATATGACAAACCAAATGCGGGCCACTTATGGCAAAAATGTGGCACAATTGACTATGACTAATCTGGATGTAAACCAAATATGGCCCACAGATGTTTCAGCAAATGTGGCCCACTTATCTTAAAACATATCTGGGCCTGGTTTGGCAAAGATATGGCTCAGTGGCACTGGCTCATCTATATGTTAGCCAAAAGTGGCCCACATATAATGTTGTAAATGTGGCCCAGTTATTTAAAACATATCTGGGCCAGTTTTGGCAAAGATATGGAACAGTGGCAGTGGCTCATCTTGAAGTGAGCCAAAACTGGCCCACATTTGACGTTGCAAATGTGGCCCAGTTATGTTGTAGCACATCTAGATCAGGTTTGGCAAAGATATGGCTGAGTGACCACTGGCTCAACGCGATGTGAGCCAAAAGTGGCCCACATATAGGGTTGCAAATGTGGCCCAATTATCTTGTAACATATCTGGGCCAGTTTTGGCAAATATATGGCACAGTGGCACCAGCTCATCTGGATGTGAGCCAAAAGTGGCCCACATGTATTGTGGCAAATGTGGCCCAATTATCTTATAACACATCTGGGCCAGATTTGGCAAAGATATGACTCATCGAGAACTGACTCATCTGGATGCAAGCCAAACGTGGCCCACATATAATGTTGCAAATGTGGCCCAGTAATCTCAAAACATATCTGGGCCGGATTTGGCAAAGATATGGCTGAGTGACCACTGGCTCATCTGGATGTGAGCCAAAAGTGTCCCACATATAAAGTGGAAAATGTGGCCCAATTATCTTATAACACATCTGGGCCAGATTTGGCAAATATATGGCTCATCGAGAACTGGCTCATCTGAATGTAAGCCAAAAGTGGCCCACATATGATGTTGCAAATCTGGCCCAGTTATCTCAAAACATATCTGGGCCAGATTTGGCAACGATATGGCTGAGTGACCACTGGCTCATCTGGATGTGAGCCAAAAGTGGCCCACATATAATGTGGAAAATGTGGCCCAATTATTTTATAACACATCTGGGCCACGTTTGGCAAAGATATGGCTCATCGAGAACTGGCTCCTCTGAATGTAAGCCAAAAGTGGCCCACATATAATGTTGCAAATCTGGCCCAGTTATCTCAAAACATATCTGGGCCAGATTTGGCAAAGATATGGCTAAGTGACCACTGGCTTATCTGGATGTGAGCCAAAAGTGGCCCACATATAATGTGGAAAATGTGGCCCAGTTATCTTATAACACATCTGGGCCACTTTTGACAAAGATATGGCTCATCGAGCACTGGTACATCCTGAAGTAAGCCAAAAGTGGCCCACATATAATATTGCAAATGTGGCCCTGTTATTTCAAAACATATCTGGGCCAGGTTTGGCAAAGATATGGCTGAGTGACCACTGGCTCATCTGAATGTGAGCCAAAAGTGGCCCACATATAATGTGGAAAATGTGACCCAGTTATCTTATAACACATCTGGGCCACGTTTGACAAAGATATGGCTCATCGAGCACTGGTACATCCCGAAGTAAGCCAAAAGTGGCCCACATATAATATTGCAAATGTGGCCCTGTTATTTCAAAACATATCTGAGCCAGGTTTGGCAAAGATATGGCTGAGTGACCACTGGCTCATCTAAATGTGAGCCAAAAGTGGCCCACATATAATGTGGAAAATGTGACCCAGTTATCTTATAACACATCTGGGCCACGTTTGACAAAGATATGGCTCATCGAGCACTGGTACATCCTGAAGTAAGCCAAAAGTGGCCCACATATAATATTGCAAATGTGGCCCAGTTATTTCAAAACATATCTGGGCCAGGTTTGGCAAAGATATGGCTGAGTGACCACTGGCTCATCTGGATGTGAGCCAAAAGTGGCCCACATATAATGTTGCAAATGTGGCCCCGTTATCTCAAAACATATCTGGGCCAGATTTGGCAAAGGTATGGCTGAGTGACCACTGGCTTATCTGGATGTGAGCCAAAAGTGGCCCACATATAATGTGGAAAATGTGGCCCAGTTATCTTATAACACATCTGGGCCACGTTTGACAAAGATATGGCTCATCGAGCACTGGTACATCCTGAAGTAAGCCAAAAGTGGCCCACATATAATATTGCAAATGTGGCCCAGTTATTTCAAAACATATCTGGGCCAGGTTTGGCAAAGATATGGCTGAGTGACCACTGGCTCATCTGGATGTGAGCCAAAAGTGGCCCACATATAATGTTGCAAATGTGGCCCCAATATCTCAAAACATATCTGGGCCAGATTTGGCAAAGGTATGGCTGAGTGAACACTGGCTTATCTGGATGTGAGCCAAAAGTGGCCCACATATAATGTGGAAAATGTGGCCCAGTTATCTTATAACACATCTGGGCCACGTTTGACAAAGATATGGCTCATCGAGCACTGGTACATCCTGAAGTAAGCCAAAAGTGGCCCACATATAATATTGCAAATGTGGCCCTGTTATTTCAAAACATATCTGAGCCAGGTTTGGCAAAGATATGGCTGAGTGACCACTGGCTCATCTGAATGTGAGCCAAAAGTGGCCCACATATAATGTGGAAAATGGGACCCAGTTATCTTATAACACATCTGGGCCACGTTTGACAAAGGTATGGCTCATCGAGCACTGGTACATCCTGAAGTAAGCCAAAAGTGGCCCACATATAATATTGCAAATGTGGCCCAGTTATTTCAAAACATATCTGGGCCAGGTTTGGCAAAGATATGGCTAAGTGACCACTGGCTCATCTGGATGTGAGCCAAAAGTGGCCCACATATAATGTTGCAAATGTGGCCCCGTTATCTCAAAACATATCTGGGCCAGATTTGGCAAAGGTATGGCTGAGTGACCACTGGCTTATCTGGATGTGAGCCAAAAGTGGCCCACATATAATGTGGAAAATGTGGCCCAGTTATCTTATAACACATCTGGGCCACGTTTGACAAAGATATGGCTCATCTAGCACTGGTACATCCTGAAGTAAGCCAAAAGTGGCCCACATATAATATTGCAAATGTGGCCCAGTTATTTCAAAACATATCTGGGCCAGGTTTGGCAAAGATATGGCTGAGTGACCACTGGCTCATCTGAATGTGAGCCAAAAGTGGCCCACATATAATGTGGCAAATGTGGCCCAGTTATCTTTTAACACATCTGGGGTGGGTTTGGCAAATATATATTGCTCAGTGACCACTGGCTCATCTGGATGTCAGCCAAAAGTGGCCAACATATAATGTTGCAAATGTGGCCCAGTTATCCCAAAACATATCTGGGCCGGATTTGGCAAAGATATGGCTAAGTGACCATTGGCTCATCTGGATGTGAGCCAAAGGTGGCCCACATATAATGTGGCAAATGTGGCCCAATTATCTTCTAACACATCTGGGCCACGTTTGGCAAAAATATGGTTAAGTGACCAATTGTCTCATCTGGATGTGAGCCAAAAGTGGCCCAGATACAATACTGAAAATGTGGCCCAGTTATCTTAAAACAATTTTGGGCCTGTTTTGGCAAAGATATGGCACAGTTGGCAATGGCTCACCTAGAAGTGATTCAAAAGTGGCCCACATATAATGTTGCAAATGTGCCCCAGTTATCTCATAACACATCAGGGCCAGGTTTGGCAAATATATGGCTCAGTGACCACTGGCTCATATGGATGTGAGCCAAAAGTGGCCCACATGTAATGTTAAAAATGTGGCCCATTTATCTTAAAATGTATTTGGGCCAGTTTTGGCAAAAGTATGGTTTTTGCCCCCCAAAAACCTACGTAAACCTACATGTAAACCTACGTGACAAGTCTGGCTTTTCAACACTTCTGACAATGGCTAATTTAGCTTCAAAGGGCAGAATTTTAAACTGCCTTGTAATTTTTTTAACAACAATTAACAATATTTTTTGGTATAGATGCAGCAGACACGGCTGTGTCTCGTGTACACCAATGCATTTTTTTTTTTATGTGACCGGTGTGTTTATTAAATTGTTTTTAATGGGAGTGCTGCGTTTTTAAAATGCTGTAACGACTTGCTGAGTGTTTTTAATTTTTTTTATTTGGCTATAAAGTGCTGAACACATTTTTTTTTACAGATTTACGAGAGTCATCAACGGTCATCACTGTCACTTGTTACCAGACTGTCCAATCACAATGGACCACACATACCACACTGACCAACTGTCAAAACATTCTTTCTGTACAACATCAAATAGCAGAGTAGATGGAAAAATAATATTTCTGGTCTCCGAACATACGTGTCTATATGACATTCATACTTTACAAACATTTTTAGCATTATACAAATTATCAGGGAAATCAGTAAAAAGTAAACTGTGCCACGGATATTCTGTATAGCAACAAAGTGTCTCAACAAAACAACATGACATCATGACTTCTGCACTGCCAAAACATAATCGCTTACAGCTAGGCCTTTTCAGATTGCCATAGCATTTTCAGCTAGCTAAAAACGCTTTGGTGGACACATGGCCTTAGATAGGCTGGATGTAAGGCCACATATATGACAATTGCTCACATATGTTTTGTAGGTAGAGTGTTTAGAAAATTGTGTAAGTTCAAACTTATAAAGAGCTGTTTATGGTTTTGGGATGTGCAAGAAGATACTTAATTGCTATTTGTGCAAAGCTTAGGGCACAATGATTTTGCCAAGTACATGTCCCTGTATCAACATAATTTTGTTGATCAAGGCACATAATTCCTGTTCATAAAAATAGTCCTATCCCTAACCCGATCCCTAAAGTAGGAGGGACATTTTAATAACACTTATCTAGAAGCATGGTTGGCATAACTTCAAACTTCAATTCTAATTTGTCGATATGAATGCTGTTCCAGGATCAATAAAGATGCTGAGCCAGGAACATGTTGTAGCCTACTTTGGCTATTTTTATAACAAACGTACAGGACTTGTACAATATTCAAATATTTAAAATAGCTATAATCAAATAAAATAAAAATTCAATATTGAAAATATAAAAAAATATTGTAATATTTTAAAACAAAATAAACTTATTTAAATACATAAATGAAAATTTAATTACATTTTTGGCTTAATATAAATTTATACAAAAGTCATTTTTAGTCTATAAATGATCTTTCTTAAAGATAAAACAATATCTATAATTTTAACATTATAATTAATGAAATACAATTAAATGACTGACAATTAGTGAAGCTCTTGTGAGAAATATTATTTTGACAATAAACTTTTTCAATTTTTATTTTTATTTTTTATTTTTATTTTTGCTTCAGCTTAGGCCTACTTATTTATTAGAGATAAGATCTCTATTTTCTTTGTAACAAAATATTTACTGCATGTGAAGTTGTCTTTGAAAAAAAAAAAAAATCAAACTGACGATTCGGGGCTTTAAATTTAAACGTAGCTGTAAAATTTGAAAAAGGCGCTGGAAACCAACGTCAGTTAGAGGAAGAAAAAAAAAAACAAACAAACCGACGATTGGGCCTTTAAATTTAAACCTAGCCGTGAAGCGCGAAAAAGGAGCTCGAAACCAAGCCAGAGGATTGTCAGTTTGAGGGAGGACGAATACTGCAAACAATCACCAAGGTAAGATATAATCGATACATTTATATTTTCTAGGGCTAGGCGATTGCTTCATACCTATAATTGTTGTATGAGTTAATGGAATAACTTCTATACTTGAAGTAGGAGCATTTTGGCAGTATAACTCTAAGCTAGAACTATTATGGTTCTCGAATGCGAAATGAACAAGTATCGATTGAATAGGGGCGCCAAAAGTATTTACATTTGCTAATGTAGGCTACACTACCGGTCAAATGTTTTAGATCGGTAGCTAATGTTTTTAAAAGAAGTCTTTTCTGCTCACCAAGGCTGCAATTATTTGATAAAAAAAAAATACAAACCCCCCCCCCAAAAAAAAAATCAGTAATATTATGAAATATTATTACAATTTAAAACAGCGGTTTTCTATGTGAATATATATTGAAGTGTAATTTATTATCGAAGCTGAATTTACAGCATCATTACTCCAGTCTTCAGTATCACATGATCCTACAAAAATTATTATAATATGATGCTCAAGAAACATTTATGATTATTATCCATGTTGAAAACAGTTTTTTACATTTTTATTTCAGGATTCTTTGATGAATAGAAAGTTCAAAAGAACAGAATTATTCTGAAATGGAAAGCTTTTGTAACATTAATCACTACCATTCAAAAGTATGGGGTCAGTAAGATTTTATTTTTTTATTTTTTGGGGGAAAGAAATTAAAAAAATACTATTATTCATCAAGGATGA